TTAAATGAGATGGAGGGCCATTTTTAAAGGATTTTGGGACTAAGTGAGGGAAATTTTCCCAATACGTTAAAGGAACTAAATTTGAGGATTACCGACTAAGGGAAAATAATTTCAGTTTATAGGGTTAAGGAAGCGATCGGATTAAGGATTTCACGTCAAGGGAAGTAAGGATCATCATTTGAGAGGTGAGTGGTTTAAGGGGGTAAATTCTACGCCTTACGTATTTTCAAGTATTTGACTTACGAGTTTTAACTATGTGTGTTCATGTGAATTGTATGCCAGTGATTGATTTGTGTCGTGATTGATAAATCATGTTTTATTTGATATATTATCTGAGATGCTCTTTTTGAGTTATGATTGTGAAGTATATGATCATTTGTGCTTTCATTATTTATTTGAAGCTTTTATATTATGTTTATTTAATGAAGGTTGTTTGATCTTTATAAGATCAACATTTAAGAGGTATTTCACTCCTAATTAAATTAGGGTGAAAAGATTTAAAGGTAGTTCACTAACGCCAGTCCCCCGCCCTAGTGAAAGTTTAAAGGAAGAGCAAGTTTGCTCTTAAGGAACATGTGGATGAATCACTTAGACATCACATGAAGTTTAAAGGAAGAGTATGATATACTCTTAAGGTTTATGGGGTTGAATAGATTACTCCCATAAAAAGGTTTAAGGAAAGGCCTATGTTGGCCCTCATACGTATGAGCTGGGCGGTTGGACTAGTTAGTGAGGGGATCCCAGTGTCAGTCAAAGGTTTAAGATTTTGAGGGTGGCGAGTAATAACAACTCCCACATTTTTTTTAAAGGGTTAAAGTATTAAAGGGTGGAAGTATAAATAACTTCCACAAGTTTTGAGGTGAACACTTAAGGGAACACCCGTAAGTGCTTCGAGTTTAAGTAATGGCGTAGACTGACCCCAACCCACTCACCAGGTCGTAGAGGAGGAGCTAGGGAGCATCCAGTCGAGGAGCACCTAGTGAGAGAGCAGGCTACCAGAGGGGGACCACGTGAACACTTCTGAAGATGTCTGATCACGGATCGGAGTAAGCAGCATTTGTAATCTTTAGTTATTTGCTTTATGATTATGAGTAATGACTGGAGATTTAAAAGGATAAGGCTTTATGGATTGAGGTTTGCCCAAATGTTAGGGCTTTGCTTTTAAATTATAAGGTGTATTTTCAGTATTGGTATTTCGAGCACATTATTATTTCTTTCTTTCAAAATTTTAAATATGCTCCGGAGCAAAATTGTTATTTAAGGGTTTTGGAGATCGGGATGTGACATCCATCATGGTGGTCACATGGATTATTCAGAGGGCAACCCGCGTTACCTCAATGGGAAGTGTGAAGAAGTTAGCATTGATGGGACTACATATCATATTTTGAGCTCGAATCGGTGGCCACTCATTACTTCCACTATGCAAGAGTCGAGAGAATGTGGTATATGTCACCTTCATCAACCATTGAAGCGGGTCTGTATGAGGTAAAGTCGGACAATGATGTCATGGATGTATTGCTGCCATCAATTGTGAATGGGGCAGATTGTAATATACTTCAAATGCACTGAAGATTTGGCTGTTGTGAACGACAATGAGGCTGCTGCTTGGGGTTCTGAGGACGAACATGAACATGATGGTGAGGGTTCTGTTAATCGCGATATTATTCATTTGATGGATGATGACTGTCGAACATCAGATGATGAATTTGTTGAAGCCATGGAGAATCTAGGCATCCATCAACAGAGGAGGAAAGTCCATACTAATGAATGTGATTCGGGAGAAGAGGTTGAGCAATTAAACCAGTTTGAAGACATCCCGACTCTTGAGCAAGGTGTTAACTTGGAAGGAGATGGTGCTGCAAATGCACAACCTCCTGATGAAGAACACGGTTATGTAGTGGAGTCGCAGTATCATGGGGGAGATGGTGTGGATGGTGGAGATGTACCGGTTTACGACCCTGATTGTGAGGCTGCCAATTTGAAACTCAAGGTTGGGATGATATTTCAGTCTCCCTAGCAGTTTCAAGAAGTAGTTAATGACCATTGCATAGCAATGGGGGCTGACATCAAGTGGATTAAGAGCTCCAATAAGAGCAAACGGGTTGTTTGTAGACAATCTTGTGGGTGGTACGTTTATGCCAGCTGGCATGGTGTGAATGAGTCATTTATGGTGAAGAATGTGGCTAATCCCCATAGTTGTCCACGATCTGTCCGACTTACTGGTGCAAATGTCAGATGGATTGCTAAAAAGAATGTGGGTAATCCCCATAGTTGTCCATGATTCTTATTGTAGGCTTCTGGAAGTGGACGAGGAGGTCGAGGTGGAAGAGGGGGTCGTGGCCGAGGTGGTCGAGGTGGACGAGGAGGCCGAGGTTGAGAGACTCCTATGATTATTGAACAGGCTGAAGTTGGTGGATCTCAACCTCCTGCAACCCAACCATCGAATATGTAGTAGTTGGTGGTGTCTGATGCTAAGTAGTAGTAGACATAGTAGTAATTGCCTTAGTGTAGTACTTGTAGTAGTTGACGGATGATAGTCAAGAACTAGTAGCTGCATTTCTCTTTTGACAGCACTCTTGTTGGCTGCATTTCTCTTTTGACAGCATCCATGTTTGCTGCAATTCTATTTTGGCAGCATACTTGTTGGTTGGTGATTATAATTATTTTGCTAGTATCAGGTTTATTGTTATGTTGGTTGAATCAAGTTGTTTATTTTGACAGCAAGCTCCTTGCTTTTAGGTCATAATCACGCCACAATGACACTTGAAAAGTAGAGTTACATTAGCTCTTAAACCATACATAAAATCACAAACCACTAGATATAGAAACTCATGAAAAACTCAATGCAACCATACAAAGAGCACTGTCAAACCCACTACTATAAGCACATACGAAACAAATGACAACCTAATACCCACCACCTTCAGCTCACGAGATAACCTAACATTTTCCTCCTTAAGCTCAGCTAAATCATGGCATAAGCGATGCTTTGCCTTCTTCCTTTGCTCGCCCTTATCTTCGGCAGCTGTCAATCTCATTTTATGTGAAGAAATTTGCTTCTTCATCATTCTCTACCGAAAGTGCGTGAACAATATCCTCTTCTCGACCAGGACAATACTGATCCACCCACACAAAGTATTTGCAATCCACCGTTTCTTCCTTCCAAAATGGGCAACGATAAAATTCTCTCCCCAGACTCCTCCCAGTTCCAGAGACAAAAACAACAGCTGGACAGTTATGAACCCACCGAGGCACATGAGAACTAGCACTTCTCTGTGTTCATCTGCGTTTGTCCTAATTGGTGGGTGGATGCAGAGGAACCCACTTCTCTTCTGTCGCCTTCCGCCAACATTCTCATTCTCATCTCCCTTTTCCCTCTGTTCATCATTCAGATATGAGTGAAACAGATCAACGAGAACTAGAGCCACTCGGCAGCGCCGGTCGTCGAGACATTGGTGGTGAAAATCATCAGAGAAACACCCTTTTCAGCGATGTCACCACCACCAAGGAAGACGAAGAAGAATGATGAGGAAGTAAAGAAAGTAGAGGTCTTCTCACAAATTGCCTCTACTTCCAAATCCTACAGAGGCGAAAAGAAAACTGGAAAGTCGCCTATCTTCTCCAGATCTGTCACCGCCTCTTCCAATTTCCTTCATCAAGAAATCCAGAGCTTGTAGAGAGAATGAGAGCCTATAGGGGATAGAAGAAGCTATAGCGGCGGTGGTGGAAGATTTAGATGGAATTGGGTATGGCGGGTTCTTCTAGTTTAGATGGAATTGGGTCTGGTGGGTGGAAGCTCTAACCGTCGGGAGTCTCGCTCGAGAAGATGAAGGTCTATTGTGCCTCAGATCTGAAAAAGAAAGATTAAGGAAAATTAAAAATGAAAATAATATTTTATTTCTAGAAAAATTAATTTTTGAGATTTATTTTATTTTTAAAATACGACGTGGCATCCACGTGGCATGACAAGTCTAGTTGGAGATGATGTGTCGTCCAAGTGGCATCCACATCAACTTAACATCCACTTAACCGATGACGTCCTTGACGGTGTTAAAGTTTGTAACAGAAATTAGGGATGGCAACAAAATCCGAACCCACGGGTACCCACCCGACCCAACCCGGTCAACGCAGGTAAAATCCGTGTTGACGGGTTTTGGGTCGGGTTTGGGTTTAAACCCGTTCACTATTCACCGGGTTGGGTTTGGGTTCAGGTAAACCCGACCCATGGGTACCCGCCCACACCCATATAATTAATTTTCTCGGTATATTTAATATTCTAAACAACTAATCTTATTTATGTTTGTGGATACATGTATAATTTTTTCTTTCTAATTGTGTAGAATGAAGTTGATGTTATCGAGTGGAGAGTGAAGAAACTTAATTGAAAGGAAGAAGCTTTCAATTAATCATGTTATTAATGGATAATTTGTGATTTGCTTCAATTTTCTTGAGTTTTCTAGATTGATGTTGAACAATTTGGGTATAGTTAATTTGTGATTTGCTTGAATTTTTTAGAATGGTGTTTTAAATATGGATAATTTGTATTGAGAGATTGATATTTGACTTTAATTTTTATAGGAACCTGTTATTGTAAATTTGTTACGACAAAAACTCGTGGGTACCCATGAACCTGCGGATACCCAGCGGGTTGGGTTGGGTTTGAGTTTTTCAAGCCCAGTGGGTTTTACCCGGAGTTTTTTTCACGGATAAACCCATGGGTTTGGGTTTGGGTTTGGCAAAACCCGACCTATTGCCATCCCTATCAGAAATGGCTAAAATTGTCAACCATATTTCAAAAGCGTGTCTATATTTGTGGATTTTTTGAAATTTGGCTATTATTGTCACAAAATGGATAATTATGACTATACAAGTGTATTAAGGACGTATTCGTTAACAATGACATAGTACAGGACCGTATTCGTTAACAATGACATAATACAGGACCAAAACTGCCATCAACGATAAGAAACCATGGCGGTGGCATTGTTTCTTCCGGTATAAAATGTTAGTTTGGCGGGCAGTTTCGTACTTTCCAATACATCTCCGCGTCGTCGACTCTTTTCTCTCTCACCCACCAAAGATCTACCGAACGACGGAGCCAAGACAAAACCTTTCCTCGATCGATCTCTTTCTCTCGCTGTCATTGTTGTTGGAGAACAACATCGATAAAAAGGGATGTCGGGAAAAGGCGCGAAAGGATTGATGGCTGGGAAAGCCGCAGCTCAATCCAAAGACAAAGACAAGAAGAAGCCCACCTCTCGTTCTTCTCGCGCCGGCCTTCAGGTTCTTCTCCCCTTCTTTCTCTAGAATCTCTCTTATTCGTCTATATTTGGCTTTATTGATGTCCGTCGAGGGTTTCGATTGTTCTTCCGAATTGGGATTCCGATTTCTTAGCTGGGTTTCGTTGATTCAGTCTGTGGCAATGTTCTTTGTCCGGATGATTTATGAGCTGATGGCGTGGATGGGAAATTGATTGAACAATGTTAATCAATTGTTTTAGTAATTGGGTTTTGGTGAATTCCGTGTAGATTGTGGCTTCTTGAGGTTCCCGTATGCTGTCTTTCTTGTTTATCATTAGGGTTCTCGATACCCCTGCTCGTCTTGGCCGAGAGAGTGATGGTATTCTTGGTATGGGATTATGATCCATGTGTGTGATGATTCCAGCTAGTTGACACTCACCTCGACGATGAAGAGACCTTGTAGTTGTTTCAAATAATTAAATTTCCGACTTTCTGTGCATTTCCGTACTTGTGGTATTCATCATCACTCGTCCTCATGTCTCAAGCGCATGGAATTCATCTGTGTCTTTGATCCTTGATTTAGTCGGAAGGCGGTTTGCCAATCCTGTAACTTGTGTGATATCAGGGTGCTGGACATTACAACACATCTGCTGATGTTCTGAATCAAAATTCTCAAGCTTTCATGTTGTTTGGCTTGCTATTCCTTGGTATTTTTTTGCTGTAGTCTTGAGTCCTTATTCAAGTTACAATGTAACTTAGTTCCTTAGTACGATGTTTCAGTTTCTCTGTCCTTCTGACCTGTATTTTTGGATTTCATCGTGTTTACAGTTCCCTGTGGGACGAATCCACCGCCTTCTGAAATCAAGGGCCACTGCTCATGGAAGAGTTGGTGCCACTGCAGCAGTTTACTCTGCAGCAATCTTGGAGTACCTAACTGCAGAAGTGCTGGAGCTGGCTGGTAATGCAAGCAAGGATCTGAAAGTTAAACGTATAACGCCAAGGCATTTGCAGCTAGCAATCCGAGGAGACGAAGAACTTGATACCCTCATTAAAGGAACCATAGCTGGAGGTGGTGTCATCCCTCACATCCACAAGTCTCTAATCAACAAGTCCGCCAAGGAATGAATGGAAACCCGAAAAGAAAAGGTCATTCATTCATTCAAATGATTAGTTTATTCGGCGCCATCTGTATTGTTAAGATTCTTCCATTGTGGGATTCCGGGTTCGGTCAGATTGTACATTGTGCTTAAAAACTCGGATTGATGATAGTTATACAAACTTACCTTCGATTGGAATATTTTGAATGTTGTGTATGACATGAATGGCTTGCTGCTTGTCCCGTTGAAACACTTCCATTAATCTTAAACTGATCATCCAAACGATAAAAAGTCTCAACACATTGACTAAATCTCATCACTCAAACGACCCCTTATTCATTTGCTAACCATTTGACAGTCTACTGGCTTAAGTTAACAACCTACACTAGATTTGAAAAACGAAACAGGTTACAACAGGGGGGAGGAACACAACAAAGCTTCTCAACCACGTTAAGAGTAAACTTTGATGTCTCTGTCATAACTCAAACACACTGCGAGAGGGAAGAGATAAAATATAACTGTTGTTAACTTAGAACTCTCTCTCAGTTGAGTGTAGCAACTTTAGGTACATCGACCGGGAACTGATCAATCTCATCCATCCACGGGTTCTTCTCCTTAGCTGGGTTTATAGTGCGCAGAGCCTTCCACACCGCACTATTGCACTTGAACCCAGACCCGAAAGCAATCTGCCACATCCTATCTCCTCTCTTCACTCTCCCTTTCCCTTCAGTATAAGCCAACTCATACCACAGCGAACTGCTAGACGTGTTCCCAAACCGGTACAGAGTCATCCTTGAAGGCTCCATATGCCAATCCGAGAGATGCAAGTTCTTCTCAAGCTCATCCAGCACAGCTCTCCCACCGGCATGAATGCAGAAATGCTCGAACGCCAGCTTGAAATCTGGTATGTAAGGCTTCACCTTCACCTTCAGCAGCTTCTTTGCCACTAATGTAGCAAAGAAGAGCAGTTGCTCAGACATTGGCAACACGAGCGGGCCCAAAGTAGTGATGTTGGTCTTCAATGCATCTCCTGCAACTCCCATCAACTCCTTTGACAGCGAAACTCCGACCTTGCCTTCTGAATCTTCCCTCTGTGTAACACAAGAGAAGCACTTATCGTCCGACCCCTTGTTGGTCCTCACAGTGTGAACCAAACTATACTTGGCACGCCTCCTCTCCGAACTCTTATTCGAGAGCAAAATTGCAGCACCTCCCATTCGGAACAAGCAATTCGACAGAAGCATTGACTTATCATTCCCAAAGTACCAATTCAATGTAATGTTCTCCATACTAATTACCAAAGCGTACGAATTTGGATTCACCTGGAGAAGATCCTTAGCGAGATCAATCGAGATCAAGCCAGCACTACACCCCATCCCACCAAGATTGTAACTTTTCACATTGCCACGAAGCTTGTAGTGGTTAATCACCATGGCAGACAAAGATGGTGTAGGGTTAAACAAGCTGCAATTCACTATCAAGATGCCAACATCTTTAGGCTTCACCTTAGTCTTGGCAAACAAGTCATCAATTGCACCAAACATGACAGTTTCTGCTTCCTTCCTAGCCTCGGCCATACAAGGATTAGGTGGAACATTGAGAACAGCTTGTGGGAGGTAAGTTGACTCACCAAGACCGGACCTTTCGAGGATCTTGCGCTGGAAATCGAGGCTTTGCTCGGTGAAAGTGCCGGTTAAGCTCGACCTGTCCATGAAGATCTGTCTGGTGCATTGTCTGGCGTCGTCGGGCTTGTAACAGGAGAAGTCTACGAGGTAGATTGGACGAGGGCGAGTTAGGAAGTAGAGGGTCAGGAAGAAGACTATGAGGGTGGTGCATAGGATTACTGAGAATAGGTTGGATTGGAGATGGTGATTCCATAGGTCTTGGAGATCTTGAGCTGAGAATGTGGATAGCTGCGCGAAGATTAGCAGGGCTAGTGGGGATAAAAAGAGGTACATCCCATGGGTGATTAGGTGATGGTAACCTAGTTTGACGTATTTGAGCTTCACTGTTTGTTTGAAATCTGGGAGCTTGGTTCGTGATTGGGATGGAGGAATCAATTGGGGATTTGGGTTTGGCTTTGGCTTTGACATTGTTTTTCCTATCTGGGTATTTGTGCTTTGCTAGTTTGCTTACTACCACGCAACAAATTAGATGCTCGGGATTGTGGGAAAAGGTGGGGGATTTTCTTGGGAACCAAACAGAGCAACAACCCGGAAAAGCTCGAAACTTTCGGCAATCACACACGAATCAGAAGAGTGCGGGAAAACGGAAAGGCCTTAACCTTGCTTCCCCTCTTTCCTGCACAAAAACGTGGAAGCTTCAACAATGAATTTATCTAATCACAAAACCAGATCTATAGAAATGCGGACTTGAACCAATTAGAACAGAGGGTAATGCATGCAGGGGAAGCCAGTAAATGAATGTGATAGAGAGAGAGAGAGAGAGAGAGAGAGAGGGGACTGACCTCGTGAAATGGAGAAATGTAGACGAAGATAGGAGGAAGGAGCTGGAAATTTGTGCTATTTCATTGGCGGAGGAGGGAGAGTCATGGTAGTGGCGTGCTCCAAGATGGGGATTTTAAACAAAACAGGGGAAGGAGAAGACAGAGTCGTCGTTGTCCTGCGGTTCCTTGATAGTAGGAGTGAGGAAAAAACACCGATATCATATGTAACAGAAACAGAACAGAAGAACTGGGGAATTTGTTTGAGCCGGGGATGGCGTGGGGTCAGATTATTCAAACATTCAAATCCAAAGTACAAAATTTTGATAAAAGTCTTCTCACAATTTATTGTGCGGAAATTCAGTAGTAGGGTCATTTGAAACTATGCTTCATCTTTGGTTTAATCGTTCTGGTACCTTTAATTTGTCTATCGGTTTGGGTTTGGGTTTGTGTTTCGTTTCGGTACGAGGTTTGTTAGATCGGACTGTTTTAATGAATTTTTTGAAATTTTATTTTGTTATCAAATCGATTATTTGAGCGAATCAAATCAAACCGTATATTTCAATATTTTCATATGGCTAAACTCGCCAACCAACTTGGACTCATATCAAAGCGCTCATGTGGTAACTTTCGCAAACACTAGTTTATAGTTTTCTTTATTTTTTTGACAGTAACACTAGTTTATATTAGAAGTGTACAATGGGTTGGTTAGTATTGGATCGTATCACGCCAAACTAACACTTAGATCGGTCCAAAACTGGACTATTAAAACTGTAACACTAGTTTACTGATGAAGGTTTAGTTTTATCCTTCATCAAAGATACAGTTTTAACAGTAGAGCGTCCAAAAATCGTTCCTGTCATATTCTACGAATTATACGATTTTTTTTTTTTTTTTGGTAATTCAAAATAGAAATGAAATAAACAAATGGAGGAATTCATGTACAGACAAGATTTGCATGAACCGGGTAGAAGTAGAAAGTGTATACTCTTTCCTCTACATTGACTTTTGTGACCTGACCTGACCAGCATCACATGCACCACAAGATTTCTTCATTGGCCCTCTCTTCATTATTACTGCTATACTGTCCTGTGCTGTGTCTTCATCATCTACTGCAGAAAATGCAGGCTACGTTCGTTATTACTGCTGAGAAATTGCTGAACACTTGTGTAAATTCGGATTCTAGTTTATCTTCTCCTTGGTTTGTTCTACTAGATCCACTTGCACTGTTGGAAATTGGCTGTAAAGAATGCAATGCTCTGCTCCAGGTCCAGGTCCAGGAGCAAGATACTTCACGGGATAATGAGAGATCCTTGACGTGTATCTTCTCTACACAAGTACTTGACTCTTATCTCAGAAGAAGCCGGTCCTGATACCTTATCTTTATCTACTTCAGATAAATTTAACTGCAAAACCAACACCACAGTTACAGTCTCAATCATCAACTAAAAGAAATTAAATAAAGAGGGAGAGAGTACCTTTGGTTCGTAAGGAGAAGAACATTATGAGCAGCTTGTTAGTGGAAGAGGTATATGTTCGATTCCAGATCACCAATGATCGACATTATTGTTTCTACTTAGTATATTTGTGATGTGATTTTTGTAACTTTGAAAAAGAACCGGTTCAAGCAAGCGGGTATGGGTGACAGGCAATCGCCAGAAGAGGATGATTGCTTTGACTGTAATCCAAACAACCAATACCACCATCCTGAAAGCAGTAAAACTGAAAAGAAAAATCTCTTTGAATACCTTAAGTACCAGAAATTCAAACAATCTGAAGAAAGGAGTTCAGTGTGCCAGCCAGCGCTTGCTTGAACAATACAAAAAAATCCAATACAAAATTTTTAGGGGGTCCTTCTTGCACTACAATGACTCAAGTGACAGCTAAGAACCAACCTTCAACAATGGCGAACCACCACCTTAACCCCGCAGTAACAAGATACAAAACTCAAAAACTATAAATTTACTGCTGAGGGATGCCAACTAGCTCTAAACCCATCAACCATGTCATTTCTTTGTCTCAGGAGTAACGAATTTTTTAACAACGTAGCAGTCTGGCGGCGTAATGTTCGTGTAGTAGTTCTGGATGGTCTCCGTAATATCGAACCCAAACTTCTTGTAGAAGGTGATAGCATCTTCATTGTTTGTCTGCACGTGCAAGTATATCTCGGGAATGTTCTGCTTCGAGCAGAGATCAAGAACGTGATTCAACAGTTTCGTGCCTGCACATATAAGTTCAGAGATTTGTTTAAAGATATGCCTATGGCTAGATATTGTTTCACAATAGCATACTAATAAGCGGTTAGTCAACTACTACCACTAACAGCTGAAGCAATGTAGATCATATCATTACGGAATAACAACAGAAGCAAACACCAACTGTGTTTTCTGGCCAAAAAACTAATTTGAGGCTTTCTGACTCACCAATGCCTAGCCCACGATACGGAGCTAACACGCCCAAGGTCATGATGTAAACACAGACAGCACCGCCTTCCTTCTTCTCCAGGCGACATGCGATGGCACCAACGCAGATATCACTGTAATATGCTGAACAAGGAGACCACACCAAGAGTTGGGTGAGACAAAATGGATGGATGGAGGAGCAAACCCAAGTGGATTCCTAGCATCTAGGAACATTGATCAACACTTTGACACAAAAAGCCTTCAACTTTAATTAAAGACATTAAAATCAACAAAGAGCTAAGGGAACCCCTCTTCAACCTAAGACAGTCAGGAAGTAGAGTCTACTAAGAGCTAAAACAAGCTCAAAGATATGAATGAAAACCATGCAAGTTCAAGAAAGGGCTCCACCCAACCCAAGCATTCACTCTCCCTTACTGCTGTTCATCAATACGACACACTAGCCAAAACAATGACCCAAGTAGAAGCATTTGGAAAATCACAGTTTCAGAAGATTGCCTAAGCATACAGGCTTTGTTCTGTACATAGCTATTCCCGTTTCCAGTTCAAAGGGGCACAGAAAACCCTAACGACAACCAGCAACCCCGAACACCAAACGAGCGAAACAATCGATCAAGAAACCACACGCAGAAGCAAAAAACCGCGAAAAGGAAAAACCTAGGAGCCCAATCAGTAGAGTCGGAGAAACAATTTGGGGACAAAATCTCATTCAGTACCGAGTTTGGTGAAGTCGCCGGAAGCGAGAGCGTCGGTGTAGTACTTTTCATTGTAACGGACGGGGAAAAGGACGGTGTTGAGCTTCTTGAGCTGCATCACGTTCTTGTCCCGCACGCCATCTAACGATATCGACATCTCCCGGCCCGCCCCCATTTGAGATTTTGTTCCAGCCGAAATAAGGAAGGAAAGTGAGTCGGCGGCGGAGCAAAAGCCTCCGCCTGCGTAAGAATTCTGGAGATTTTGTCCTAGATTTGGCTAAACCCGCGGCGGCCTCGCTAGCTGCTGCTGTTCGTCGGGATCTGTCTTTTGGGGACAAGAGAAGGAAGAAGAAGAAGAAGAGAAGAGGCGTATCCAGCCAGCTTTCTCGTGTGTTGTGGGCCTGGCCATATTGGGCCCACTGGTCTAAATAATGAAGAGTGGCCCAAAACCAGTACTCCGTTAAACAAAACACCGCCAACTGTCAACTGATCGGTGGGAATTGGGGAAGGCAAGAAGAGTAGGAAAAGAAGATGCCGAAGGCAATAATTGTCGGTGGAAGCATCGCCGGAGTATGCTGCGCCCACTCCCTAATCCACGCCGGATGGAAAGTGACGGTGGTCGAGAAATCACCCGGTCCACCTACCGGCAGCGCAACCGGCGCCGGACTTGGACTCGACCCTCAGTCGCGCCAAATCATCGCTTCCTGGCTTCCTGTTCCAGACCTTCTCCACCAATCCACTCTCCCTCTCACCATCGACCAGGTCAGTGAGTGATTTTCACAAACACCTTATCTTCAATTTTCAGCCACCAAATTTTTTTATTTTTATTTTCATTGGATTTGTTTCTTGGAGCAGAACCAGGCGACCGATGCTGAAACGAAATCCAGTTGGGTGCTTGCCAGAGACGAAGAGTTCAATTTCAGAGCAGCTCACTGGACTGATCTTCACCACCTCCTGTACACTGCTTTGCCTCCGGAAGCAGCTTCGTTTCTATGGGGCCATCTCTTCCTCTCCTTTAGCATTTCTCAGGATAACTCGAAACCATCGGTCTCTGTTCAGGCCAGAACTCTCCAAACCGGGGAGATCGTCGAGATTACTGGGGATTTGCTTGTGGCCGCTGATGGGTGTCTCTCCGCCGTTCGTCGGGCTTTCCTCCCTGACCTGGAATTGAGGTTTGTTTGCTCATGGGTACTACTTACTACTTACTACTTACTAGCTGCTAATCTGCTCTAGTTTTTATTACTAAAGGATATGCCTTTTGTTCCCCATTTTCTGTCTAGGTATTCCGGTTACTGCGCATGGAGAGGCGTGCTTGATTTCTCAGAGAATGAAGATTCCGACACCATTACAGGCATTCGTAGAGCGTATCCCGATCTGGGTAAGTGTTTGTATTTCGATCTAAGCACCAGGGGAACTCACAGCGTCTTCTACGAGCTTCTCAACAAGCGGCTGAATTGGATTTGGTACGTTCATCATCCACAGCCCGAACTGAAGGGGAGTTCAGTGACGATGAAAGTAAGCAAGGAGATGATCCAAGACATGATCCAGAAAGCAGAGCAAGTTTGGACTCCCGAACTGGTGAGAGTTATGGCGGAGACAAAGGAGCCGTTCCTGAACTTGATATATGATTGTGAGCCCTTGGAGAAGCTCTTCTGGGACAATGTGGTGTTGGTTGGTGATGCAGCTCACCCTACGACTCCACACTGCCTGAGAAGCACGAACATGTCAATTCTAGATGCAGCAGTGTTAGGGAAGTGCGTCGAGAAGTCGGGGGTTGAGAATTTGAGCTCGGGTCTCGATGAGTATCAGCAGATTCGTTTGCCGGTGATTTCCAAGCAGGTCATCCATTCGCGGCATGTGGGAAGGATCAAGCAACGGTTGAGTGTTCCTGATTGGAAGCTCTTTGATCCAAAGGCAGCTAGATCGGTGGATTGTGAAGAGATTCAGCAGAAAAACATGCCCTTATTTTCTAGTGCTCCTCTTTCTCTGCATTGATTTGGTTATTGGTAATGTAGCTCTGGTGATCAAGTTATCCACGCCAGTAATCTGTACTGTAAGAGCAATCATCTGGATTTGTAAGAGCATCCATTAGTAAAAATAACCCATTGCTAAGGTAATGTGGCTATGCGTATCTAGTAAAGTAATTGCTAAAACTGTTTATGTGGCGGTATTCAAGTAGGACTATCAATATTCTAGGGTTGCAAAATTCATAGTTCACCCGAAGGAACTCCTGGAAAGTCACTATTAGGGAACGGGGATTATTGCTAAACTGGAGCATTGCAATGGAATTTGATCAATAACTCCATTGCCCTAGGGTTTATTCAAGCTGGATGAAACTAATTTACAAAAAGGCCTCATTTGCGTACAAGTTCTCACAACCATTCAAAGAATAAGATACATAGTACAGTTTGGGGATCATAAGATATTGCACTTCGGGATAACTCGATTCTTAAATAGTTGCACGAACACATTCTTACACTTTGGAAGGCCATGAAGCTTGAGCAGACATGATTATGCCCACAATCACCCCAAACAATCCAAGAGCACTACCAAAGATCTCAATCACGAGAATCTTCACAAAAAGTGAGGAGTTTTGGGCATCAGACAAGGCACAGCTGCTTCCTATAACTCCCACGCACACCCTGTTAATCATATCAAGGTTAGCAAAGCCAACAATAATCCCAGATGCGAAACTTGTTCTGGAAGTTAACTGTGGATGGTAGTTCAACTAGACAATGGATATACGTACCCGCAAACAAGGTTAGCAAAGCCAACGATAATCCCAGATGCAAAAATTGCATATCCAGCTCTAAGGGATTCCGGAGCATATATCTGTGAAGCCGGAACACTCTCCAACTTCGTCTGCAGGATGATTGCCACGATAACACCATATATGGCAACGGCTTCACAAAAGATTACACTGAAAACGAACAGCAAATTCAAACAGATCATCCTCCAAGAGAAATTGCAAATGTTCTGAAGTTCATATAAACTGCTAAGAAACAGAATATGCCATCAAGAGTCATAAAAAGAAAGGCAAAAGCTATACAGGCATTGAAACAGAAAATCATAAAACGATACTTCTCATCCAAACCATAGCTAGATCCTTGTAGACTCAAAGTTCCTAAGGTTCCAATTTACATCAACCAAAGCGGTGCAGCAGCTGTGCACAAAGTGCGTCATATAGATCCTAGCCCCCATCTAGAGGAAACAGTCTCTGGTACAAGCTCCAAGCTCATTACGCAAATGGTCGCCAGTACTCCAATGCCATATAACTTGAATGAACGTTCTACGGGTATCAGCAAGTACTTCGCTTTTCAACCATACGAGATTCCCAAGTTCACAGAAACATAAATGCAAGTGAAATTCGTCCATGGGACCAAGTTCAAGAGCAAGAACCAGCCAACTTATACAATGAGCCTACCATCTAACTCAGTTGCAGCATCTAGTCTACATACCAATGGATAAATCATCATGAAAGAAAGGACTGGAAGCTCAGAATCTCATACCTGGGGCTACAATATCGATGCCTAAACTAAGTCCAACAACACTGTAAAAAAAATGGAGTGAAGCAAAAATCCGAAAATTGCAAGAATTTGGCACCTGATGAGATTCTTAGAGGTGATCCGAGGAGCTTTAATGGCGGCTCCGATCAAGCTACTCCCAGTAATGTAGATCCCCCTGGAAATTCCCATCCAATCAAATCAAATCGAAGAAAAGCAAGTCACGCAGCACATCCACAAGAGCCCATAAAACAACAGTAAACCAGAGAAAGATGCAGCGGTACAACTGAGAAAAGTAAGAGAACGCAAAGTAAAGGAGGGGAAAGAAAGAGCAGTACCAGGCGGCACCGAGGACAGAGACTCCGATGGAGATGGCGATACCGATGGCGGAGAAAGTGTAAGGAGAGATCCTAACGAGCGCTCGAGCCCAGGAGCTCGCATCACCGACTATCAACGCACTCGACATTTTCCGGCTTCGCCTCGATCGAGCTTCGAGTGCTTCAGGCTGAACTCCGGCGTGAATTTCTCCTCCTTCGTCGAGCGATTGAACGTCTGGGGGAAATCAGAATGGCGTGGATGGAGGAAGACGGGAGAGAGTAACTAACGATGGAGAGACATACACGTGCGAAACTGCGAATCACTGCTCCACGATCCCGGTTCGCGAAAACGGCGTCGTTCCATTTGACTTTGTCTTTGTTTATTACCGCTGCAAAAGCAAAGCAAGGGCTGCTACGTCGTCGTGTGCTTCGTAACCGCAGGCCCTTGGCTGAGGAAACATCATAACACTACCCGAACTTTCACGTTTGTTACAAACCGAACACTTTTTTCCCGGTAATCAAACCGAGCACTTAACTATGATATTTTTGCGGAAATTGGTAAATTTGTAGTTGCAACGTTACCACTTGGCGGAACCAAAAATTTGAACGAGGGTTGACTTGAAAAATATACACTTGAGTGGTTTGAACTGTGGTTATAGGTGGGAGGGGGGCTAATGACTTACCAACTAGTCTATTATTAGAATTTGTTACACATTTTACAAGTAAATTTTTGTATTTTCGAAAGTTGAGGGGGGCTATAGTCCACCCTAGACTCAACGTGGCTCCGCCATTGACCACTTAGCTACACTTTTATAACACCATGATATAATTTTATGCACTGCAAAACATTATTACTATTAGAGATTAAAAGACACCTGAAGATCGAAGCACCCAACCAATGTAGATGCATGTTATTTGCGGCCAAGAACATTGCTATTTGCCGCCAATGGAATTGAGAATGGGGATGGAGTGATTCAGCGATTGAAGTTGAGGTTGGAAGGGTCCGTAGTAGCGGCGGCAAAGAAAATTTGCAAAATGAGAATAAAATTATTAATTTTATTAGAAAAAATTTATTTATTTTATATTTAAACCATTTTGATTGATTATATTTTGAATTTTTATGCCATCTTATAACTGATGTCCTGCTGAAGACGAATGAGGACTAACAAGCTTGACCATTGATGTTTTTTATAAGGTTATACCATTTTGTTGTTTAGGTATTATTTTTTTAATAAAAGATAATCATATATATTAATTAAAAACAAGATTATTATATCATGTGCCTTAGCCATGCAATAAAATCAAATGAACGACGCGCTATCGGGTACACAGCAAGGGCCTTGCGAGCCACCATGTGGGTTACCCTATTATTATGCCGGTCTGCGAATCGAACACTAACCTCCCTCCCCAAACTCCCCCAAATAACTCAGGACCTCTTGGAAGATAGCCCCCGCTCTGCTATCACGATCGTGAGTTTGGTTGAGCTTATCAATAACCACCTTGGCATCCCATTCAAATCTTACCACCGAAAAACCCTTTTGGTTACACCACAGAATTGCTTCCCTGAGGACCAAAAGCTCCACAATTATGGGGTCATCCATCCCCGGGAAATGAACACCCGCAATGAAGAAAACCCCCCCGCGATCCAGGAGTACCATCCCCCAGCCAAATGGGACCCAAGATACTAAGAGTTTTCTACTTCTATTCTTAACTCACAGAAGTTCTCTACTTCTATCATTAACTTATACACAAGACACTAGGACCATCGTGTTACGTCTCCAGTGGCGTAGCCAGGATTTTACACAAGGGGGTGCAATTTTCTTAATTAAAATAAATATATCTTATATGAGAAATTATTAATCTTATTCAGTGACTCACAACGTTTTTCCACTATATATAAATTATAAAATACATGTTCTTCGTATAAACTACCAAAGATATTATTGTCAATCAATATATCCTACCATATGATTCATGATTTTTCTTGTCATTCCATCCATGGAGAGTTAAGTTAAAGTCACTCTAGTGATTATGGGGAAAAAATCCCAAAGTACACTAGTTCCTAAAAAAAATTCCCAAAATACATAAGTTATAAAAAAAATCCAAAAGTACACATGTTTCCCATTCACCGTTTTTGACAAACGCGCAGTGAATACAATCACCGCGTTAGACAAAGACGGTGAACATTTCACGATTTTAAATTAAAACGATGACGTGTTCACTGTCTTTAGGGCAAGGCGGGGAACATCTTCACCGCCCTAGGTTACGACGATGATTGTTTCCCACGTTTCCCACCCCTGGTAGGTGAAAATTATGTCACAACCACCTAATGTTCACCGTTTGAGACAAACTCAGTGATATTGTTCACCGTTTGAGACCAAGGCGGTGAATGCTGGCCGATTTTCCTATAAATGCCACTCCCACCAGCAGTTGTACAAACGTAACCCCTCTCCCTCTTCAAATTTCAGTAACCAAAACCCAGCAACATACACAGAACAGGAATTTTCAGTATGATTTAATTTTCGTATTGTAGCCTAATATGTTCTGTTAGTTGGGGAATTTATGTTGTTGTTAGTTAGTTGAATTTATGTTATGTTAGTTATGAGATGGAGTAATATTTGTCGTACAATATGGTTTTGGTTAATTTTACTGGAATTAAGCTAATAGTTACTTATTATAAATTGTAGATATGGGTAAATACAAGAAGTTTCGGCTTATTATTCGGTGGAATGGAAGGGTGACAAACTCTGAAATAGGGATTGATTATGAGGACAGTGAATCCACTATACTGAAAATTGAGTCGCGATTCAATTTTCAAGAACTCTGTGATATTTGTGCAGACAGGGTTTGGACGAGCGGATAGACGAGACTTGGTAAAATTAGTTACCGGTATCCAGACATGAGTGCTGGCGGGGTTGTGTACCAAGAAGTTGTCATAAACGATGATGTCGCGGTTACGATGATGTTACAGTTCCTAAGCGATAACGGGATGCGACTTGCAGAGGTGTATGTTGAGACCGAGGCGGTCGGTGAAACTCATTCTCACCAGTATTCTTATGATGATGGTTTTGCAGGAGGGTACGGATTGGGTGGTAGTTCGAGCAACTACGAAGGAGGTGGTTATACAGGAGGTTATGGAGAGGTTGGTAGTTCAAGCAACTACGTTGGAGGAAGTACTGCAGGATGGGTGCCATCGGAAGAATACTCGCAACGGGATCAACCTGCCGATGGCTTTCAATGGCCTGCTTAGGGGCCAGAGTGGGCTGAAATCGAGAATACCATTCGATCAGGGCGTACTTCACATGAGCGAGAAGACGATGTTGGTGATGGGTGGTCATGTTCATCCTTCTGGCCCGAGCTATCCATTCGACTCGAGCGACGATGATACGGAGGAAGATTTGAGATCAGTGAGCGAGGAGGAAGATACCGATGATACCGACGACGAGGCGGCATTTCGTGAGGCACCGACGCCATACTACACACAGGTTCCAACTCAATTTTTACATAGTAAGAATGATGCACCCGACTTTGTCCCTATGCCAGTGTATAATCCTACGGCCAATTTGGAGGTGGGTATGACGTTCACATCGAAGGACGTTGTACATGATGCTTTTACCGAAGAGGCATTGAGGCGCAATTTCGAGTGGAAGGTAAAATATTCTAACAGTAAACAATTACATGTCATATGCAAGAATGATGCAGAGGGCTGTACGTGGCAACTGCGGGCTGCAAATATGAAGAGAAAGGATGCTTGGGTGATTCGAAAAGCTGAGACCAACCACACTTGCTCCTCGTCCATACTTTCCCAGGATCACAGGCAACTTAAAGCAAAGAAATTTGGGAGAACTATTAAACACCTTATCGAAGCACAACCAGATATCAAGGTCGAAGCTATCATGGCCGAGGTGAAGGATTGACATTTTTACATGATAAGGTACAAAAAAGCATGGCATGGAAAGCAGAAAGCCATGGCTGAGGTGTATGGTGATTGGGAAGATTCGTATGCTTTACTCCCTAGACTTATGGCCGCAATGGAGAGTCCAACCCTGGGACTGTTTTCGTGCCAATATACAACAATGTATACACCGAGGATCAAGTTCGAGTACATGAGAAGTTGATGTTTTAGCGTCTTTTTTGGGCTTTCAAACCATGCATTGACGGGTTTGCGCTCTACATACCAGTAATTCAGGTATTTTAATAACTGTTTACTGTTTGAAATGTTGTATTCTTTCCTGCTAAGCAAATTTCATACTAATTATATCCTAATTTTTAATTAGGTTGATGGAACTTTCCTTACTGGGAAGTACAGAGGAACTCTTCTCATTGCCACTGGCGTTGATGGAAACGGGCGGATTTTCCCGCTTGCATTTGCATTAGTGGAAGGGGAGAACAGTTTAAGTTGGGCATGGTTCTTTGACTAACTACATGAACACATGACACAGCGGGAGGGTATTACGATTATATCTGATCGACACGTGGGGATTAGGAATGTCGTGGGTGGTTTTCCTGACGAGTGGGGATGGACATGGCACTGGTGTATTCGACACTGGCTCGCCAATTTCCAGCATAAATTTGGGAAGAAGAAAGACATCAAAAATCAATTGTGACATGAAGGTACTAATGTCCTTTAATGCGAGTTAACTATGTATTTTATAATTTGTTATTTATCATGTATTGACCAGTTTGATTTTGTTCACCTTGCAGCGGTTGCATATCAACCAAAAAAGTACGAGCAGAAGATGAAGAAGATCCGTTAGACCCACCGAGCTAGAGCAGTATGGGCTGAAGGTCAAGAGTTGGCCATGTGAACGTTCCATATGGACAACGGGGCCAGATGGGGCATTGCAACTACCAACCATGGAGAAAGTATAAATAATGTGTACAAGGGCCTTTGAGCGATGCATGATTCTGTCATAGTGGAGATGTCATACTGGAAGGTCAACGAGTGGCGAGTGGCTTGGCTTCAGCTAGCTATAGGGAGGGAGCTATCTGGTCATGCGATAGCACATGACGTCTTTGAGCAAATGCAGAAGAACGAAGAAAAATCAAGTAAGCATAAAGTTGTTCTTTTCGACCGCAATGAAGGGATATTTGCAGTGGAAACAAGTGTATCAGGTGGAGGTAGACGTGTCCAAAATCGTCAAACGGTTACTCTGCACTATGAATCAGGGGAGTGTACATGTCAAAAGTATCAAAACGAAAGGATACCCTGTTCACATGTAATGGTAGTAGCTTAGTCACTAACCATGAACAGAAAGACTCTGGTGAGTCCTTACTACATTGAACAAGCGATACGGAACTCATATGATGCAGCTTTGAGCCCCATGCCAGATGAAGCGTATTGGCCTATATAC